ATGTACCTAACTGACAGTCGTCCACCGCCTGTAAGCCTTTGACTACCAAGAAGTACTGGCTTGATGGATCATTCATACCTTGACCGATGGCACGCTGTGCACCCGGGTACCCCTTGGTCAGTCTCCCCTTCTCTGCCCTCGTCAGAAGGAGTTTCCGGGAGACTGCTTAGTGGGGATGAGAGATGGGTCCTCTATGATTTCAACCCACACAGTACCGTTTGTCTCTCTCAAGGAGAAGATCCATTCTAGCAGTCCAAACCGGGCATGTATTCCGAAAAGGTTCTCCTGTGCTGCTCCTGGGACGCGAGGAGGTGCTGCAGAACGAGCTGCCCCATAAGAACAGACGGTCACCGCCACCATTTGTGTCGCTCAGCTCCCGAAACGAGTGAAAATTGTTGGAGAAAAATGACCGAGACTAGCTTCGGGTCACCTCGTTCGTAGTACACGAGACCCCATGCCTGCTATGGAGACCTACCAAATATATGAGGGCAAGATCGGAAACTGGAAGACCAGTTCCCGCTCATAATATTCTCCTGACGTAGTCCCCTACGACTACTACTTCCGCCTCCTTAAGGCTTTCTTAGCTAAGAAAACTTTCAGCAATTTTGATGACATCAGTCGCGAGGGCGCTGACTTACTCTACTCGCAGCCTTCTCAGTTCGGGAGAATGCTAACCCGTCCATTGGGTGGAGCACTGTTGTGGCTAACTATGACGAGTATATTAATTGACTAATTCCACTGTATACTTAGTTAGAAAACAAAAAAGAAAAAAGTCACAACAGTGACAAGACTTCCCTTCCAACCTATACAGGTGGGTCCGTGGTTCGCGTGGTCCCACGTGGCCCACACTGCGCGCATTAAATGTGTATCACGCTGTCGTCAATGTGTTAAAGTAATTTGTGGCCCCTCTGCGGTCACCTAGCACCTGATCACCGCTACCTCTGCACCCAGCTTCGCTCTGATCACAGTGAAATGCGGCATCTTAGAGAAATCTTCTGGGTGTTTTTCCGAGGGTCTTCCGTTTCATTTTTATTTCGCGGGAAAATGAAAAAATCGGTCAGACCTGTTTACTCACAAACAAGTCTGGTGTTAATAAAAGGACTGTGGAGGGTAAATGGCTTTACTGGCTAGGCGAGAGATGACAAGAGATTCGGCATCTTCGTGTGGCAAGCGTGCTTTTGCCGCTACCCTCCTCCCACCGCATACAGTTCACCTGCCTGATGCAAGCTGCTACTTCATTTGGACATTCCGTACGCGGGGTATTTCGATTCGACACAACTGTCCTCCTGGCTTTTGCTGGATAGAGACACGACTACAACTGTCCCAAAAGTCCCAAAGTGGAATATTCACACACAACACACACACACACACACACACACACACACACACACACACACACACACACACACACACACACACACACACACACACACACACACACACACACACACACACACACACACACACACACACACACACACACACACACACACACACACACACACACACACACACACACACACACACACACACACACACACACACACACACACACACACACACACACACACACACACACACACACACACACACACACACACACACACACACACACCACATCGCCCACCCACCACACACAGCCACAACCACAACACCACCACACACACACACACACACACACACACCGCACCACACACTAAACGCAAACACCCCACCAACAACCACACACACACTACACACCAAGTACATGGCCGCGCCTACATCTCATCTCAGGGATCTGTACGTATGCATTTTATAATGGAATGTGAAAAGCTCAATAATAATGAGTCTGTTGAGGGTGTGCAACACTTCAGCTTCACATGCTATCGTGACCTGCGTATTCACGATACCAACACTGCTCTCCTAAGTGAGGCGGATGTTGACGGTCGGTTTTTTCTCTGCTTCCCGGATTCAGTAGGTCAAATCATGAAATCAGTGAGGGATAATAGCTTTGCTGATTTAACCGAGCATGGAGCGTTTGGTAGCAGTGTTTCCTATCGGTGACTCACATCAGCACACAGTTACAATTAGTGAAATCAGCTGTCTCCAAATGCGCTCAAACTCCTGACAAAAGCATCTCCTGTCGCCGATCGATTGTTCGTCGTGGATCAATCCCATTGTGAGATGCATTCCACTTCGAATCGGAATCGTAGCATTGAGTGCGAAGTGGCCTACATATCGACTTGCCGAGGCCAACTGATTGACGGGTCAGTATTTTCAAACTCGCATACGATTCCGGTACCATGGTACCGTCTATAGAAAGTAGAAGGCTTGGACGGCCAATGTCGAGCCCAGGTGCCGACAAGAGACGTTGGCATCGGCGGGGTGCACCCGGGTCACGCCAGAGCGCGGGGTTATTAGGGCCCGCACCTCCCTATAAGGGGACGTCGCGCCGTTGTGTGCCTCCGTCCTGTCACGGGCTGAATGAGGCCTGCCCCTCGCTAAGTGGATAACAGTCATGGATCTACCCACTATAATTACTCTGACAAGATACGACTACCTTCAGAACTTCATGTAGAAAAACATCCTACTCTATATAATCCGCTAAGTATGTCTGTAAGTGTGTGTGTGTATGTTTGTGTGTGCGTCTGTCTGTGTGTCACGAAATTCATAGCGCCGGTCCCAGCAACAGTGAGACATTGATTTCAAGAAGTGATGTACGGGGTGTGACGGGAACACTATTGGTAGGTGACAGGGAAGTTATATCAATTGATAAGATTCGATAAGGGGCTGTAGAAGGAGAAGGTCACTATAATCATAACGCAAGTGACAGCATCAGCCTGCTCTCGATCTTAAGATATGATATAGAGGATAGTGCCAAGAACACATTATCGAGGTAACAAAAAACTGTAAGCTGCTGATAAGATTCGATAAGGGGCGTTAGAAGGAAAAGGTTACCATATTCACAGCGCAGGTCACAGCAGCAGTCAGCTCTTGATTTCGAGATATGATATAGGATGAGGGCCCAAAATCATTATTGGTGGGTAACAAGATTTGTGAGCTGCTGATAAGATTCGATAAGGGACGTTAGAATAGTGAGGTCATCGTATTCATAGCGCAGGTCACAGTATCAGCGAGGCGTGCGTTTCAGCAAGTGATATAGAGAGTGAGTTGGGAACATCAACCGTGGGTGACTAGAAGCGATAACTATTGATAGGGGCTGATAATGGAGGTTGCAGTCGTCGTCGCTGTTCAAGGCGGTTCACGCTCTCAAATCATAGAGATTTAGTGATGAGGACATTGATGACGTTGACACTAATCTTATCAATCGATAAAAATAATTGATAACGGAAGCAATCGCTGCGCTACCTCTCACGGCTTTAATGCCAAGTATTCCGCAGGCTCAGATTGGCTGAAACTACCTTGCATCTTCCATACCTAGAATGATTCCTATCTAACCTATATATGGTCATCACGTGGGGGGGGGGGGGGGGGGGGCGCACACAATCAACTATTGAAACGTATATCCACGGCGTACAGAATGCATATAGTGCATATAAAACAAAAAATCCATACAACCCTCACTTTTCTAGAAGGAAAAAATGAACTATCAAAATAAATTTGTCTTACCCCACCCCGAATACGACCCCCCTCCTCAGAGCAAAAGTACCTCAAGTGTTTCACATGAGTTTCACACAAGGATCTGTACTCCTGTGCTGTGTTTGTATGGCCGTAGGGCGCGGAGCAAGTATAGCGTGTACATGCGAACGCAGGAATCCGGCACGGTTGCTCTATCTGTACGATTGCTTAACCAATAAGAGGTGTATGAACAACGCAAGTGATGAAAGAGCTTCGTGTCCCGCATTACGGAGCGCGCCCTGGCGCAAGCCGGAGGCCAGAGAGAAGGAGGAGGCTCGGCGTCAGCCGGGCGATCCGACTGGTTACATGATAACATAGACAAATTCATCGTAATCTAATAATACACATGGCCAATGGCTAATCGATATTAATATGTACAAAGAAAATGATTAAGAGGAAGTCGTACCTGTGGATGAAGGTGAGGATGGGAGCAATAGGTGGAAGCAATTGATCAGTAGTGACAGGAGAAGACCATGGAATGAATTAGATGGGGACAGGGAATGGCGACGCTGGTCCACCAGTTGCACAACCGCTCATAGTGAGCGCAGAACGACGACTGATTTGAAAAATGATGACAATACTACTGTCTGCGCGGTTCCCGCGGATCAGGCCGCGCTTTTCATATTTTGAGGACGCAACTGTAGTGCAACTCGAGCGCGGTATCCTCCCGGCGCCCCCCATTAGCCCCCCAGGGACGGTCGTGCGTCAGTCACGACACTCCGGGCGTCAGAAAAATGGCCCTGGTGTGACCATGACGAATAATGAACGGAAAAAAGGGGGTAGCCTGTCACGTACTGATCAGGGATATGAGATACAGTAGGCAAAAATAATATGGAACAACAACAAATATGTACACATTCCTTAGAGCGCATCGAGTAAATATGTGAGGCTTTAAGGGTCCTCAAAACAAATAAAAATCAGTTATCAAGAAAACTTCATAAATGAGTGGAGTAAGTGGGGCAATGAAGGTAAGAGATAATAAAGCAAAACGCAGATAAACAAAAATGTAATCGCTGACTACATCTGCAACTGACTGCCTTCGTGATCGCGTACCAATTGTAATCCAACTGACCATCGAAGCGTTCCAAGTGACCATCGAATAAAGCAGGTGGAGCCAATAGACCTTAGACGAAGTTGAAATGGCGGTTGTTGTTGACTTTTGTATGTGGACCTACGGACTTGCAAAAGTGCGAGAGGGAGATTTTTTTTGTCTCGCATTAGCCAATTTGGCAGGGGGGTGAAAACTTCCGAAGGGGGATTGGACGAAAACAGCGATCTCCCAGCGCTGTGGGGTGGATGAGGGTATACCCGGACCAAACCGAAGGGGCCTTCCCGGAAAGTGGCGGTCGTCGACATAGTGTGAAAGAGAAAGGCATGTTCGTTCATGGCTTTGGATGACGAATGTAGTAGTTTTCGTAGAGGAAATACATAGCTTTGAAGAATGTCTTCACGTCCGGTCCAATCGCGAACGAGAAAGTAACGATAAGGACAGAGTGCTGGGTGATGTTCATCTGAATCGCAAACACGGCAAGGCGTATCGCGTCTGCAGTAGCCTGGCGCGTGTAAAGGCAGTAAAGGCTAATCTTCAACAGAAACTAAGTTTGTAGCTTACAATCCGTGAGACTCTTAATGGTAGTGCAGTTTGCAGTATAATGATTAGCCTCACAGAAGAAACATACGATTGACGGATCGATAAGCTTCCGCTCTCCCTGTGGCGATTGTCTGCGAGGAGGAGAGCGAGGAGCCGGTGATCCTACGTCTCTAACGCATATCGGACTGCCTCGAAGGTGAACGACGATCCTCACTTCTGCAAAAGATTCGGGATGGTCCTCTGGAGCTGCGATCCTGAAATGGATGGAATACTTCTGGATAGACGGATAGGCGAGGTCATCTGGCGTTGGAAAGCTCTCGACTTCTACAATCCATTCTCGAAATGCGCTGTAAACCGCATGACGCAAAAGGAGTGTATCATCACGAAATCCCTAGTAGAGAGGTGCTCAACGCTGAAAGTGTGGTCGAAATTTTCGGCAAGCGTGAGAGATTGTGTGATTTGCAATGAGAGACGCTCAGATGGTGGAAGACTTCGATCTTGGGAAGCGTCATCGCTATAATGACGAACCTCATAAGCGGGAAATTCCCTTTAGCCAGATCAGAGATGAGCTTCAGTGGAGTTCGATCGCGCGAGGGACGTTTTGGGGTGATTTTCGGATCGAAAAGAGAGCGCAGGCAAGTGGACGATAATTGCGCTCGTAGGACGGAACGAAGAAAGTAGTGTTTTGTAACTCATTCAGTTTGCAAGGGCCAGCAAAGAAGAATTATCCATGGTAGAAACAGGCTTACTAGTTGAATACGAAGCCTCAATCACGATTTCACTGGTTTGACAGGGAGCGAAGCTAACGCTGAACTTTCCGAAGTTGCTGGACTGGCAGATATCTTCATATAGCCTCGATCGCTAGGGAGCATAGAATAGAATAGTGAATAGACTCGAATTCGATCTGAAACATGATAAATTTGGACGCATACACATGTGAAACGGCAAGGTTAAGTAATTGACGGAA